AACCCTGAACCCTAAACCCTTAACCCTAAACCCTACATTATTTGGGTAGGGCTCAGAACTGGTGTTGGGCTTAGAGTTCGGCTGCAAGGGTTGGTCTAGCGGAGGCCCATAGTTTTGAAGGTAGTCCCAAACATAAACTAACCCCTGGTACTGTAGACGGTTTAGGGTTTTCGGGTTTAGGGGTTAGGGCTTTAGGGTGTAGGGTTTAGGGCCTACTGTTGATGGTATAAATCCTGCATTACCTTCTAAGGACCCTAAACTATGGGAGTTGTGGCATATTCCTTGTTATTGGGTAATGCAGGATTTATATCATCAAGAGAAGTACTCTAAACCCTTAAAACCCTTTAAAGCCTGGAGCCCTGAAGCCCTAAAGCCGGAAGCCTAACCCTAACACTCAACCCCAACCCTAAACACTCAACCCCGACCCTAAACCTCTAATCCTACCCTAAACCCGAAACCCTAAAACGCCTTCAAGAGGGTCTCTGAGTTCTCAGAGCCTCCAAAAGCCTACATAATTCAGAAATGTGGGTAGTTTTCTAAAATAGGGCCCCTTTTACGGTCCTTTTTTATAAGGGTGCTGTACTATATTGGGGACCCAAAAAAGGACCCTAATCTAGAGAACTACCCATAGACCTTGAACGTGATTTGCGGTGTATTCCTTACTTAAAAGGTGTTGGTCGCTGAGTTCGGGGTCATTAGGCCAAGCTGAGCTCGAAACATCCACCTTTGAAGCCTCTCTCCTTTCCAATTTTATTCCTTAGGTTCCTATTATAGTTATAGTTATGCTATAAAAGAGACCAGAAACCTATTCTAATTACTAAGGCCCCTACATTAGCTCCCTGCTTCGACTTCTGCACTTTCTTGCCATGTTGGAGAGAAAGCAGTGCACTGCCCCTGCGTGCTCGTGCGGGTGGCAGATGACACCATTGCCCAGATCCAGCGCAAAACCCGAAACCCTAAACCCTAACGGTTAAGGTAAAGGCTGCAAAGGAGGCAAGGGGTCAGCAGAGTGTTCGAGTCCACGTCAGATGTTTGCTGCCAGGGAGGGGCGGCAAACCGAAAGGCCATGCAGTTTCCAGAGAGCCTTTCAGATTGTGCACCCAGAGACTCCAAAACCCCTTAATTAAGGAACAGACCTTAAATCTTCTTAGGGTTCCCCATTATAATTTAGGGTATATATTCCTTAAATTAAAGGGGTTTTGGAGTCTCTGGGCACTTGGTTGTTTTGCCAGCGTGGATGCTGCCGACTCCAGGCCCCCTCCCTGCTTGGCAGGAAGTCCAAGCGGCTGGCGAAAGCCTGGAACCTCCAAGCACCCAGAGAACCCAATATACCTTAACTTAAAGGAATATATACCCTTAAATCATAAGATTAAGGGCCCCGATAATTTAAGGTATATTCCTTAATTAAGGTATATTGGGTTCTCTGGGTGCTTGGAAAAGGATGGCGCTCACCAGGTGAGCAGCATGATGCAGCCGAGTTCTTGACGTACTTTCAGATTCGAGCCTGCCCCTTTTTGTCCCTTTTTGTGGGCCCAGGGGTTAGGGTTTAGGATTTCGGGCTTAGGTTCCTTATTTCAATAAAGTACCCAAAACCAAAAGGGGAGCCCTTTATATTCCCAGGTCTGTGAGGCAGGTTTAGGGTTCAAGGTGTAAGCTTTCCGGTTATTTAGGGGTTTCAGGTTTGGGGTTTAATGGTTTCGGGTTGGGGTTTAGGGTTCAGCAGGGTGTAGGGTTTAGGATATAGGTGTCGGAAAAAGCAATCATTCATTCATACTATTCCTCAAGGCTCCCTCTTAGAATGTACCCCGAAGCCCTTTTTCCAAGTAGTCAGGCCCCTGTATTAGGGCTTTAGGACATTGCTTGCACGAAGTTGGGTCACCAGCGAAGAAGCACAACCCTAAACCCTAAACCGCAGGGTTTAGGGGAGAGCTCTCAGGCCCAATGGAGCTTGCATCGGTTCTTACTGCAATGCTTTCCGTAGGGTTCCTAATTATAGCTATACTAGAACATACCCTAAACCCTGAACCCTAAACCCTAAACCCTGACGCCAAACCCCACGGTGCAGGGTTTGGGGTTCAGGGCCTCAACCCTAAGCCCCAAGCCAAGCCCTTGAGGCTCCCAGGGTTTGAGCACCAAGGCCTTAAAGTAAAGCCCAAAAAGTTGGAAACCGGATTAAGGACAATTAGTGCTGAGATTCCCTATACATTATGTTTAGGGATTGAGGCTTTTGGGTTTCCAATTTTTGGGCTTCTACTGTAAAGCCAAAGCAGAACGGCGTCCTCTACTATCGACAGCCCTAAGCCCTAGGGTTTTAGGGGTTCTTTTTGGGGGGTTTAGGTGTTTGGGGTCTAGGGCTTATAGGCTTTACACAGACCCCTAAACCCTAAACCCCAAACCCCTAAACCCCTAAACCCTAAACCCAGACCCCTAGACCCTAAAACCCGAACCCCTAAACCTAAAACCCTTAAAACCTAAGCCCTAAACCCTAAACCGTAAAACCCTAAACCGGCCAGAACATCCTCTTCTACTACGACAACCCGCAAGCTCCACCCGAGCAACTTCCCGGGCAGATGACTTGGGCCGGGGAGCTCAGGGGCCGTTTAGGGTTTAGGGGTTTAGGGTTTAGGGGGTTTTAGGGGCTTAGGATCTAGGGGGTTTTAGGGGGTTTTAGGGGTTTAGGGTTTAGGGTTTTTTTGGATATAGGGCTTCGGGGTTTCGGGTGTGCGGTTTGTTTGTGGCTTTGTTTGGTTTAGGCTGTTGGGGCTTTGTTTGGTTTAGCGCTTATGGGGTTGAGGGCCTTGTGAAGGGGCGCAGGGTGCAGGAGTTAAGGATATGGGTCTGCCCGACTGAGGGTTTGTTCAAGGGATTTTGGGGCAAAGTTTAGGGCGTAGGACACAGGACCCACGATTGGGGGGTTTACCGCTTTGCTAGTGAAACTGAAACTGCAAATCCTGCTTAGTGTCCAATGCTGGACTTTGTGTCAGGCCGGGTTGACTAAGCTTGATTTCTGGGGTCGTCACGATCATGCAAGCCTTTGCGTAGCATTTAACTACAGCTTTGCCACGGAATCCTAAATTACTAAACCCCCAAAACCCTCCATCATCCACAAGCAATGTCGCATTTATACCTTGTAACCTAGGGAGCATGTTTGATGTCGATGTTGAGCGAGGACCCGCAGTTGCCGTTTAGGGTTTAGGGGTCAGGTGGTTTAGGGGGAGTGTAGGGTGTAGTGTTTTTGGCACAAAAGCCTTCGGCGATTTCGGAGGACCGAAGTTATGGTCTCACAGTTCCGGAGTCAATAAGACGTCTTGTTGAGTTATGGTCCTTCCCTAAACCCTAAACCCTCACTAGCTCAGTTGATCCTAGATCGGTTCACGATCGTTTCTAGGAGGAAGTCCAAGAATCATAGCCCCACACCCTGAATCATCCAAAAGTAATGATCTCAAGCGTAGACGACAACTTACACCCAAGGTTTCTCTGTTTAGGCTTTCAGGGTTTATTATCTACGACGAGAAGGAAGTAGGTCTTTGACTTTCGGTTTCGGGATTTCACTTACCAGAGAAAGAAGACAGCACAAGCCACGGGCGCGAGCAACACTGTCGGGCATTTGAGGCTGCACAATACAATTTGAACAGGAGGTTTTTGTTTAGTCAGTGGGGAAACTGTCAGGTTCTTGGATTTGACTACTTGGGTTGTAAAAACCCAAAGCTTTGTTACTGGCTAGTGACAAAATAAACTCGGAATTTACGGGACGGCCCTGAGTTTCAATGCTCTCGAACCCGAATTGCCTAGCTCTGGGTTTTAGGATTCCCGGCCTTTAGCCACTAAATTAAACCCCAAAGCCTAAGGTCCCTAAACCCTCAACCCTAAACGTGCAGACGGCACTGAAACCACACGCTTTCGCCACGGCTGAGGTGGATCCGAAAAGCGGCCTGAAGCTAGGAAGAGCGTGACGAAAACTCGTGCCGTCTTTGGGGGTTGAGGGTTTAGGGAGAGAGGGGGGTTGGAGGGCTAGTAGATTCTAGCACTTTCTTGGGGCTGAGGATGGTTTAGGATTTAGGGTTTGTTGTTTTTGGGGGTTTAGGGTTTGGTGTGTTGAGCAGTTTAGCCTTAAAGGGTTTAGGGTTTTGGGGTTTAGAGTTTTTTTTTGGGGGGGTGTCAGAAGAGTTCTTGAGGTTCTACAAGAGCTTCTGGGTTCAGGGGTCTTCCAAGGGTTTGGGGGTTCAAGGTTGTTGTTGTTGTTGCTGATTTAGGGTTTAGGGTATAGGGTTTTTCTAGGGTTGTGCGGCTTGGCGTTACCAGGCTTGGGTTCCAGGCTTTGGGAGCGGATTCGTGAAGAGCTCGCCCCCAAACCGCGCCGGAGAATTCCCCAGATCAAGCCCTGACTCGAGAGCGGCAGGGTGCTGCTGGCAGTGGCCAAGCCTTCAAAACCCAAAACCCTAAAACCCTAAACCCTGCTAAACCCTAGACCCTAAACCCCACTAAACCCTAGACCCTAAACCCCCCTAAACCCTAGACCCTAAACCCCCCTAAACCCTAAACCCAGTGGCCAAGCCCTAAAGTGCTGAAGGTGGTTTAGGGGTCGGTTCTTTAGTTGAGCCCTAAAGCGGTATACTTCCAGGGCTTCATACACTCAGCAGGCAGTTGTGCAGGGAGAAAATCTTTTTGAGATATGCTTGCCTTCATTTTAGGGCTTGGGGTTGGAGCAGACAGTCTCATCCCCCGCAGCTCTCAGAACAGGCCTTTTTGTTTTGAGGTGGATCTAAAGCAGCAAACCCCAGCATCGTTTAAGGAACTGCTGGATGTCTGAAACTCATACCGGCGAGTTGTTGTCACCTAGCTTTTCGTTGGTCTTCCACTTGAGGCTCAAGACGGGGGAGCACCGTTTGACAAGTTGACCTAGAATACCGACCTGTGCGTAGCATAGTTCCCTACATTACAGCCTCTACATTGCAGGCATGACATCCAGCTTTTGCTATCTGCAGTAATGGGCCCAAAGCATGGCGTTGAACATCGACGCCTGGACTTGCTGCTGCCTGTCGTGCATCCCCACAGGGTCCATCGGCGTGGTTCAGAAGTTCGGAGAGTACCAGGGCTGGCAGGAACCCGGCTGCAACTGCATTTGCTTCCCATGCACGACCGTGTTGCCTGTCTCGCTGGCCGTGAACCAACTCACCTGCAAGTCGGAGTGCAAGACGAAGGACAATGTCACGGTCGTTGTGGTGACAGCCGTGCAGTACCGAATCCTCAAAGACATGGTGAAGGTGGCAACATTCGACATCGCCAGCCCGCACGATCAGATCAGAGCCGAAGTGGACAACGTCTTGAGGTCTACAATTCCCTCCATGACCCTCGACGAGAGCTACGAAGCTAAGGAGAAGATGGTGGCAGAGATACTGGAGTCCGTAAGGAAAGCCATGGGCCAATACGGCTACGAAATCCTTAACGTCCTCATCACCGATATCCGTCCCGAAAAATCTGTCCTCGACGCCATGAACGAAATCAATGCCTCAAGAAGACGACGTGACTTAGAGACTAAAAGACTGACAGGGCTTCGGGTTCTGGTTTAGGGTTTAGGGTTTAGGGTGTTGGGTTTAGGGTTTAGGGTTTAGGGGGTTACCTTGGTACAGTTCACAATTGCTCTTTGTATTACTGAAAAGCTTGCTGCCTCCGTCTAAGCGTAAGATTGCTTACCTGGGCTTCTAGCCCTGCCCCCCTGGACATCCCGAGGCGTAAGCTTATGCCGATAGTCCGTATAAACCCCACGCGGCCCCACGCCCGAGCGGCCCGAGGCTACACCCTAAGCTTCAGGTGAGGCCGCAGTTGAAAAGGGTGAGGCCAACAAGCTCCTGAAGATCAAGGCCCCCCACTCCACTGCTCGACCAGGGTTTACCAGGGTTGCATTTCGGGCTTTAGGGTTTAGGGTTCTAAACCTCGTATGAAAACCCGAAGCCCTAAACCCTAAACCCGAAACCCTAAACCCTAAGAGCCCTAAACCCTAAACGAAGCCTTAAAAAAAGACAACTCTACAATGGCTACATGAGGTTTCTCATCTGGCTTGGGGATGGCGGGGGTTTCTGTAACTCCTAGGTCTCTAGAAAGCGTTTTGGGGGGTCCACATGACATAGGAAGGAACCGGTTTAGGATTTAGGGTTTAGGGTTTAGGGTTTAGGGTAGAACTTGTGCCTCCATGTCAGGGCCTTGGGTCTTTAGGTCTTGGGGTGTAAGGTGTATTGGGGTTGCGGGTTTAAGGTTCAGTCTCTAAGACATTTTCAGGTGGGTAGTTACCGTTATAGGAGCCTTATAGAAGGTCTATATACCTTATAGAAGCCTTATACAGAAGCCCTATATACCCTAAACTCCCCACCTGTAGTTTAGGGAATCCAGCAGGTGAAGGGTTGTGACAGAACCCAACGGTGGCTCGCCGCGGCAGTTCAGCCGACCTCAGCGCAGTCAGCGCAACCCAGGTTAGGGAAGGGTTCGCACGAACAAGAGGAGCAGGGTGGGGCGGGACGGGCCACGAAGGCCGGGTCTCAGAAACGGGGAAAACTGTTTCGGGTCGGGACACAACTTTTCCACTTTCTATAAACCAGTTTCTGTTTCAGGGATAGTCGAGTCGCCAAACCCAGCCCCAAGCCACCCAGCCCAGCCCTGCCCCACCAACCCCCAGGCCCCAGCCCCAGATTCAACATCGAAAGCAAAAACTCCAAAACGTTTCGGTCAAAACTTCTTGGCGCCCCAAACTTTCTATAAACCCTAAGCCCTAAACTGAATGGAGGCCTCAGAAGCTGATGCCGAAGCCAAGCGGCTGGCCGGCGTGGGCATGGCGAACATGCGTGCGGCCATGGCGCAGGGGTTCCAAGACTCCATGAAGTTCATGAAGGAGAGTGGCATGAACGAGAAAGAGGCGATGCACATGATGATCATGACCCAGTGCCTCGTTTTGCCACACGGTCTCTTTTTATCTTTGCCTTTCCCTACCTCTAAAGTACCGCGGCTTCTTCTAATGTGGTGGAGGTATCTGGACACCTTGAGGGACTTCGCTGGCAGCCATGGCTCTAGCGTGGTCCCTTCTTGCGATGGCCCTTTCAAAACATCCAAGAATCCCATATCATCCCAAAAGCCCAAACCACAAACCCCACACCCGCCCAAAAAGAAGAAAAAAAAGAAAAAAAAATCCTCTGTCCCGGCCGGCGCCTCCTCAGACTCGGCAAACTGTGGGATCTCAGATCCAGCAGCAGGCCAGGCCGCGCCAAACTCCCGAACCCTAAGGTGTAGGGTTGAGGGCCCAAGCCCAAATATATATATATATATAGATATAGATAGATATATATATATATACAGATATACAGTTTAGGGTTGAGGGTTTAGGGTTTAGGCCTCAAGCCCAAACCCCCCAACCTGAAACCTAATCCCTCAACCCAAAGCCGCTGAACCCTAAACCCCAGGCTGGCTAAGCACAGCAGAGGGCTTGCAGCCCCAACTATGCTGGACCGAAGAATCTGAAGATAGCGCCAAAACAAGTCTGAAGGCAAGAACACAAAGGATGCATTCATTAAAACCAACTGAATTAAACCAATACTTGGACAAATCGACCGATGTTCAAACAGATGATAGATAGATAGACAGATAGACAGCTAGACAGACAGGTAGACAGACAGATAGACAGATAGACAGACATATGGATAGACGGATAGGTAAATAAACAGATACAGTAGATAAATACACAGACAGACAGATAGATATATAGGTAGATAGGTAGATAGATAGACAGATGGGTAGATGAATAGATACAGTAGATACATACACAGACAGCTAGACAGATAGATCGATAGAAAGATGAAGACACTGTATTCATGTTGCTATGTGCTGATGCATCTTCCGCCTCCTGTCAAACTACTTCTAGTTGTATGATCAGCTTGGGATGGTTTTGATTGCTGAGATAACAATAACACGGTGCCATCCATCTACGCTGTGCCTATGCTGGTTTTACTTTAGGACTCAGCTTCTCATATTCCTGCAGAATATGATACCGAGTTTTTGTATAATGTACACACACACATATATATATATATGGATGGAGAGATGTGTGTCACACACACATATATATATATATGTGTATATATATATTATATATATATATATTCATATATATTCATATGTCATGCGAGGTTGCTGCTCAACATCAGGCTTAGAGGTTCGCGCCCAGCCCTGAGACCTTAGACCCTTACTTAACCCTGAATCTCAGAGCTTCGTCCGGTTTAGGGTGTAGGGTTTAGGGTTTAGGGTTCTTTGTCTTGATCTAAGACATTTTCAGGTGGGTAGTTACCGTTGTAGGAGCCTTATGGAAGGTCTATATACCTTCTAGAAGCCTTATAGAAGCCCTATATACCCTAAACTTCCCACCGTGTAGTTTCTTTTAATCTTTGTCTTGAATACATCCGAAAGCCCCAAACCCTAAACCCTCAACCGGTGGATCCATTGACTTGCAGTTGGGAGTGCAGGGACTCGGGTTTCATGATGTGGGGTTTAGGGTTCTAGAGAAGTTCTAGAGGTTGAGGTTCAGGGTTTCAGCGTTAAAGGGCTGAATGGTCGCGGGGTTTAGGTTTTAGGGGGTTTAGGGATTAGGGTTTAGGGTTTAGGGGTTTAAGGTTTAGGGTTTGGGGTTTTAGGGTTTCGGGCATAGGGCCTTACAGGGTTTAGGTTTTAGGCTTTGGGGATCTTGAGGCTGGGGTCCTAGCCTGCCAGTCATTTGTTCCATTTTGTGATGGAATCTTCGCTCAAGTGTTGGACATTAGACGCCTGAGCAGTACTACCAAATCGAGCCCACGACGAAAATGAGCTATCTTAACCCATGCAACGGCAGGGTGGCTTCCTTTTTCGGACAGCTTCAGCTTCACCAAATCCTGAACCCCAAACCATAAACCTAAGCTATCTGCGAATGCTTCGTTCTGAAATCCTACAAGCCTGGCAAGAAAGTGCATCGAAACCTTAGGCGAAGACCCTAAGCCCTAAACCGAAAACCCTAAACCCTCAGCCCTAAGCCCTAAACCGTTTAGACCGTCTCCCGTTCCCTGAAGCTTTCAGCTGCGGTTGGAGATGGGGGGCACATCTGACTACTTTCCGGGTTAGGTTCCAGAGCTTTAGGGTTTGGGGTTTAGGGTTTAGGGCTTGGGGTTCAGGGTTCAGAGGTTTAGGGTTTGGGGTTCAGGGTTTGGGGTTTTGGGTTTGTGGTTTAGGTGTTTAGGGGCTTCGAGTTGAGGGCTTAATGTGGTATCAAATCAAAGGCAAAATACCGTCAGATCGAATCTGGCTAGGACATTTTCAGGTGGGTAGTTACCGTTCTAGGAGCCTTATAGAAGGTCTATATACTTTAAAGAAGCCTAATAGAAGCCCTAAATACCCTAAAGTCCCCACCTGTAGTTTCCTATAAATCTGTCGCTTCAGATTCCAGTTGTTGCACGTCCTGCAGCACTGGGGACCAAAGCATGGCGTTGAAGATCGACGCCGTATCCGCGTGGCCAGGTGCCAGTAGGACAGAACCATGTCTTGCTGCTGCCTGTCGTGCATCCCCACAGGGTCCATCGGCGTGGTTCAGAAGTTCGGAGCGTACCAGGGCTGGCAGGAACCGGGCTGCAGCTGCATTTGCTTCCCATGCACGACCGTGTTGCCTGTCTCGCTGGCCGTGAACCAACTCACCTGCAAGTCGGACTGCAAGACCAAGGACAATGTGACAGTTGTTACGGTGACGGCCGTGCAGTACCGAATCCTCAAAGACATGGTGAAGGTGGCAACATTCGACATCGCCAGCCCGCACGATCAGATCAGAGCCGAAGTGGACAACGTCTTGAGGTCTACAATTCCCTCCATGACCCTCGACGAGAGCTACGAAGCTAAGGAGAAGATGGTGGCAGAGATACTGGAGTCCGTAAGACAAGCCATGGGCCAATACGGCTATGAGATCGTGAACGTCCTCATCACCGATATCCGTCCCGAAAAGTCTGTCCTCAACGCCATGAACGAAATCAATGCCTCAAGAAGACGACGTGACTTAGTAGTTTCAAATTTCGTTCGGGCTTGACTGCCTCCTCTCAAACTCACATAATAAGCTTGTTTGGGCTTCTCAGCCTGCAGACACCCTGACAGAGTAAATCCTGAAGCCTCCACCCACCCTACATCGTCAACTTCAAGCTGCAACGCCAAACCCCAACACTCACCTGAGGTGAGGCCGCTTTCGAGAAAGGAGAGGCAGACAAGCTCTTGAAGATCAAGGCCTCAAACGAGAGCCCCGGACAACCCAATACCCCTTAATTAAGGAATATACCTTGAATCTTAATATTAAGGCCCATATAATTTAGCGTACATTCCTTAATTAGGGTGTATTGGGTTCTCTGGCGGGGTTCTATAAGGTTCAAAAAGGTTCTGCACGCTTCTATGAGGCTGCCCGCTGCCTTTATGCAGGTTCGAGTAAAGTTTTTGAGATGTGTGGGCTTTTTAAGTTTAAGGCTTAGAGTTCTGGCTTTGTTCGCTTTCAGCACTCGGGCTTTTGGTTGTGACTGTAGGGTTTAGGGTTTAGGGTTGCCCTGCCAAAGTGCGTGGCGAGGCCTCGGAAGCCGATGCCGAAGCCAAGCGGCTGGCCGGCGTGGGCATGGGAAACATGCGTGCAGCCATGGCGCAGGGGTTCCAAGACTCCATGAAGTTCATGAAGGAGAGTGGCATGAACGAGAAAGAGGCGATGCACATGATGATCATGACCCAGTGCCTCGTTTGCCACGCAGTCCACTTTTTCCCCTTGCCCTTCTCTAACTCCTCTTAGTACCCCCGGGCTTCTTCTCCGTGGCGCTGGAGGTATCTCGACACCTTGAAGGAGTTCGCAAGCACCCATGGCTCCATCGTGGTCCCTCATGGGCCCTCGGCTGTCCGGGATCTGCGATCTCAGATTTCGAAGCCGGCGGGCCCATCTGGAGCAGTGCCGCAGAGGGCCTCCAGCCCAAAGCTCTGCTGGACTGAAGACAGCGCCCAGTAAACGCATCGATCAGTTTGCGCTTAGTCTTATATTTCTTGTTGGAACGGAATGAAGATTTGCTTCTGCTTCTATTGGGCTTTTGGACAATCATTTCTTTTTCTGGTAAGCATATGATATATATTTTTTGTCTCTTTTTGATGCTGAACTATGAAAATGCTTTCGGCGAATTTCTTGGAAACTTCCGCTGATTTTCATTTATGTATTTGACTTTCTTTAGATCCGGAGGAAATCTCTAATAATTTTTTAGTGATCTCTGGATGGGTTTGGGGCGGGGTCTTGAGAATAATAGAATATTATCTTCTTTAAATTAAACCCCTGATATCAAAGATGATTATATAATTATATATTATATATTTTAAATAGATTATTGATTATATTCATGGTCTGTCTAAATATTTGAAAAATGAAAAATAAAGATATGGATTTATGAAGGAATTCGATTATTTTGAAATTTTTATGATTTTTATTTTGATATTTTATAAAGTAAATTTATTAATAATTATCGATATTAGATATATACAAACATGAAATCTCTTTTGTTAACGATATTATGATAGAATTTTGAAAAATTTTCGGACAATTCGCATAATATAGATTGATGAAAATTATATATTTTATAAGTATTTAAAGAATGAAACTATTGATTCGTCCAGATTTGGTATATAATATGAGATTTCGTATAATATATTTTGATTTTATTTATTATATGCATATATTGAAAAAATATATATGTATATATATTTTATATATTCCAAATAAAATGAATAAATTTTTAAATATAAATGAGCTATTTCATTTTTGTTGAATATTAAAAAATAGAAATTGAAATCGACGTAAGAAATATTGAATTTTAATTTGATCTTCAAAGATTTTTAAATTTCTTTAATTTTGATTCTTCTGGTCTGGATATATTGAATTTTTTTATATATATTAAAATGATATCTGTGCTCCGAGATGCTTAAAGATTTTTGAATATTAGATTTCGATTCTTCTTTTGATTCGGAAATATTGGCATTTCAATTGAATATAGGTTTTAATATAATTAGAGTGAAAGAATCTTGGATATATTGATTCTTAATTCTTGGATATGGGAAGAATTATTTCATTTATCGGGTGTAGATTGCAATTCGTTCTATATGATCTTTCAATAAGATTTTAATATAGATAAATTAGATAGCATTAATTAATTACCATAGATGATAATATCTACTAATATATTTTAATTATATGATTACAAGAGATAGAAATATAAGTCAGTACACTCTCACAGGAGCCCTTACAGAATCCTAACGGCTTCTCTGCCCCTGGTTCTTCCTCGGATGCCTTCAGGTGCCAAATCAAACAGAGAAATAAGCAAATTGAAAGCGTTAGCTGTTCTCGAAGCGACCGACAGACAGACAACTTTTCCCTACAAGCTTCGGTTCTAAACTAAAAGAGCCAGGGCGAGGCTGAAGATAACAAGAAAACAACAAAAGCTTCCCAATCTTTGGCGAGATTCGGGGGCATAATCTTGGAATAAAATTGGTCTGTTATTCTTGTAGGCTCGTGGGAATTTTCCATTTGAAGAAATGTATTTGTCTACGAAGAATAGCCTCACGGCGCAACGGCCTGTGAGCAGACCCAGGCCTCTTGGTGGCGTGGGTCAAGTGCCACCGGCGCCCTATAGTAGCAGGTACCGCCACAATACCAATTTGCACAGCAGTCGCAGTATCAGCAGCAGTTTGGTCAGCCTCAGTCCCAGCCTGCCGCCGGCCAGCAACTTGTTTACCAACCAGCTCCTGTACCTGCACCGGAAGACAATACTGTCAACCTGTTTAGACAGAAAATGCAAGCCCAGGATGAGGAGATGCGTGCCCAGCAAGGCCAGATAGCGCAGCTCACCGAGATGGAGAAGACGCTCGCCGTTGCGAGTGCTACCGCGACCAATGCTGCGTCTAGCGCAGCAGCTCCTGGCACGAGTGCAACGTTACCTCCGGGCCAAGAGGATTCTGCAG